TATATATATATATATATATGAAAAGATGAAAAAGGAAAAGAGGAAAATCATTTTTGCGATGAGCACTGCTTTGAAAAAGCCATTTCTAAACATCTAGAAGTGCCTATTTACTCAACTGGGCCCCAAATATGTTGGCGCTGAGGTAGGCGTGGATTTTCCCCGGCAGACAATTTCTGGATCAGCCCCTTGCTTTTGTTGTCAGGCAAAATAATTTTGAATAAATGCCGTACTTTACCTGGTATCTTCCGGTCATTAGTTGACTTCTTGTCGGCGTACAAATGGGCTGGACGTAATAGTTCTCCAGCTTAACCCCCTCCCCTGCTAACCTGTCAATCACAGGGGTGGCAAAAATTGATCCATGGTACCCTACGTCTCGGTACCCTTGGTCATCTGATAAAATAAAAATGACATGTGGCTTCGGAGTAGCCGCAAGACTGAAAGTTACGTAACAGCTGCTTGCATAAACGGCGAGGGTGAGTGCGATTAAATTGTAGGCTGACATCTAAGCAAAAAGGGAACAAGAATAAGCTACTGCAGCTGAAAAGCATGGAGAGCATACATAAAGTGATGAAAATAACCCGTCGTCAAGAGCATCTATGTACGAACAGCGAGTGAAATAACCATAATAATATTCATTCAAGTGAAGCGGCAAAGGTTGCTACTTTTGTGGGATTAATCACTCTTAAAATAAAGGGCAGACATGGGCATAAAATGCTTCAATGCGCTCCAATTGTAGACTATCTAACCTTAATGAATGGGTCATAAGTACCACGTATACAATATATGGAACCCGCGATATATAAGACAATAATCTGGGATTTAACGAGAAAGTTCGGCTTTTGTAAGCAGTTTCTTTCTACCCGCTTGTCACCGCCGATTGTTTCCTCGAGAAGTGACGTCATGACGTTCTAATCACGATACGCCGTTTGCGTATCTACAACATCTATTAACTAATTGATAAGTTCGCTAATAATGTAACTATATTACAATGCATTTTTATACACTACAATTATTTACGTCCTAAGATAAAGTTTAACCAGAAAAAATCCTCTAAGTATCAAAAGGAAACTCATAAATTGATGTGAACTTGAAAACTAGTGAAATTGGCTTTCCATATGGAGTGAATTACGCCCTCAGTTTTGGAGAAGCCTATACTTATTCTGTAAATCGGGTCCCGATTCTACTTTTAAACATTGAATGCAATTTTCTTTAACATTTAATTGTTTATATACATTTTTAATTAATCGGGGTAATTGATACTAATAAGTCAAAGTTTGCTGCGTAGCTCTACATGTATATGATATAAACAAATGCATAATTTAATACTGTATTATTTTGATGAAATGACTTCATACAAGTATACGCTGATACGTACTCATAGGCCTACAACCGTCAAAGGGCAGATACAAAACACTTTGTCAGGATCAAGATCAACATTATCATCAGATAAGGTGTATAGGCGGAGGACATCATGCTAGTTTTCACATAACATTTTTAACTTACTAATTAAGTTCACACAATCTCTCAAATAATTTTGTCGTTTTTACTTCAATATTACTACTCCAGATAATGTTGTCTGCAGGTTGGTAAATCGAGAGTAGGCCTACATTGATGTTACACTTCATTTTCTTTGCTTTCACTGTCGTATTCGGATTCGTCCCTGCTATTATCAGAATTAAAAGAATCATTCTCTGCAATGACATCAACCACTTCTGTTGGAAGTATATCACCATCACACCAAAACGATTTGCTTTTCAATACATATTTACTTCGACAGCTTTTGTGGTATCTCGCTTCACAAGCAAATAAATCGTATCCCCGAATCTTTAATAGGAGACCTAAAATTGCATAGATCCTAAGTATTTTATGTAAACCGGAAACCAAATTTCGGTCCGTTATGAACTGTCTCTTATACACATCTAACCCCCTGGATCCGCCACTGTGATTAGAATCAAAT